TGGAGACCAGTGGAAACACTACTTCGTCAAAATCACTGAAATAATATGCCCGGAAAAAGTGCAGGACTTCAACAACGTCAGCATGTCCAGAAATACAGTTGGCTGGATGGCCCGATTTACATAGCCAGCACAGCTGATACTCACCAGAATAATTTACTAAAATTATATGCACTCCTGTTATTAAGTCCAGTTCAGTCTGTTAATGTTGATAACGGTTTCAAACGAACGTTAATAGGTGTGTTGCTAAGCTAATAACTTAATAGCCAAATACCAAACTTGAAATTTACCCATCCTATTTTCCCCTTTATTGTTTTTTTCTCGGGCAGCACGGTGGCAAGGTGGTTAGCACTGTTGCCGCACAGCAAGAAGGTCCTGAGTTCAATTCCACCATCAGGCCGGGGTCTTTCTGTGTAGAGTTTGCATGTTCTCCCCGTGTTTGCGTGGGTTCTCTCCGGGTACTCCGGCTTCTCCACCATCCAAAGACATGCAACTTGTGGGGATAGGTTAATTGAATAATCCAAATTGCCACTAGGTGTGAATGTACGAGTGAATGTGAGTGTGAATGGTTGTCTGTCTCTGTGTGTTAGCCCGCGACAGACTGGCGACCTGTCCAGGGTGTACCCCGCCTCTCGCCCATGACAGCTGGATAGGCTCCAGTGCCCCCCGCGACCCTGAAAAGGATAAGCGGAAGTGAATGGATGGATGTTTTTTTTCTCTGTACTGTAAATCTTCTATCTAAGAAGAAATCTACTGCTGTTCTGAGAATGAGCTACCAAAGATTTTTCTGAATAAATCAATAAAGATCCATTTATGGAAAGCTGTGATAAAGGCAGTTTTGTCTTTAATTATATTCAACAATGTAACATATTTGACCACTTTTAAGTGATTTTTCTAACTTTAATACACTAAAGTTAAGGTTATATACCTAATTTCTAGTAAGTGGCCCAGCCCCTCCTATATTTTTATGTATGTGGCCCTCAGTGAAAAAGTTTGGACACCCTGTCTAAGGCTGTTGAAATATGTTCTCCATGATATAGAATTGCTCGGCTGTCAGTTTTCCTTTTATGATGGAGATGCTGCGAGATTTACTTGTCTTAAACTCCATTCTTGCCCATTCGATGTTTTCCTGGAGCTTCTGTAGTAATTGCCTTGTACATGGTTTTGTTGTTTTAATGATGGTCATGTCATCCATGAAACCTAAATTAACCTTATAGTTTCAGATCTCAGGAGTAAATGGAACTTTTAAGATCATCACAGTTTATTCTGGGAGTGTTTATTTTGAAGGAGAGAGGAGATTTTATTAGAATGAGTGTGTAATCGTCTCAATACTCTTACCGTGTGTTTCACACCGAACGGGATAGACGCGACCAAAATCGTGCCAGATGCCCTAACTTGACGCGTGCAAATTCACACCTCGACGAGTGTCCAACACGAATTAATCGCGTGTGAACGGAAATGTGGGAGGAATGTGGGAGGAAGTTGTGCCAGAAGGTATGTTTGCAAGATCGCAGCTGTCGAGCTAGCGTTTGAAGAGAGAATCTCCTTCTCTGTTTACTGTGGAGAGCAGAGCAGCAGAAGTGGCGGCGCGGAAGGCAGCGGCGGCGAAAGAGCTGGTTCGGAGGCCGGCCCGCAGAAGGCAGTGGCGACCTTGTTCAGGGGGCGCCCTCGACAGCGATGACGGCCAGCTAAAGGCCTGGAAAGTGGCCGGCAAAGGCGAGGAGGTTCAGGCCGAACTGGTTTGGACAGTGGTGTAAAGGCGGCAGAGGCTGGACCAGGTGACTCATAGGCTGGACCAGGCGAAGCTGATGATGAGGACCTTCTTGCTGTGAGGCAACAGTGCTAACAACCATGCACTGTGCTGCCCTTAATAAAAATAAAAACAGAAAGTGATGTTGACAGGAGTGTAAAGTGAGCAGAAATCACAAAGTAAAAGAGGGACATTTTTTGAAGCATGCTTAATCATCTAGATAAGGAAATCCCAGGAATTTGATTCCGTTCATCTGGACGTAGCATTATCATTGGGGAAAAAGTTTCTTCATTCATCCAAGTGACTTCTTCAGTTTCCGCTAGGGATGGTTATCAAAAACCGGTTCTTGTTGAGAACCGGTTCCCACTGTTTCAATTCCTTGGAATTGTTTGCCATTTTTTGCAAACGATTCCCTTATCGATTTCAGTCTCCCCGAATTACGTCACACGTTGCGGAGCGTCATTTACCTGGCAGGAAACACGGCGCCTAAGCAGCTCAAACGCTTCATAGTTTGGTTATACTTTACGAGAACGGATGACAACAGGGCAACTTGCAATACTTGCAAAGTAGATATTTCATTTAAGGGAGGAAACACTACGAATATGCAAAAGCATTTGCTCACAAAACACGCGATGACCTTAAATGAATGTCATGTTTTTAATTCCGCTCCGGACTCGTGAATCTCAACCCAGCAGCGCAGGTAACGTTTGCACGTCCTCTCCCGTTAATGCGGCAGGTAAATAATCAACTAACAGTGCATATATGTTATGCGCGATCTGCCTTATTACAAACCTGCCATCACTGTGCATTTAGGTGACCATGATGAGACAGACAGAGTCTGGCCTCAGATGCTGGCAGTTCTCGCTGCAGTCTGCCGGTAGCGTCTCCTTTCAGGCCAGGATAGAGAATGTCACCAGCAGTGACTAAGTTTGTGGTAAAAGGCTTGAACCCATTTGCCACAGCAGATGATTTTTGGTAAGTGAATGTGTTAATTGTAGGCAGGACATACTGGATATTCTTGTGTAATTGCTACTGAATAATTTATGTTATACTTTGTTATTGCTACAGAAGAATATTTATTTTATTATTTTACATTTACAATTTTTTTCTGGGGACCCTGTGACACCCCATTGAAGAGCCGTAGGCTGGATCTCTTAAGATCTCACTGTTGGTTTGTAAGCCATGTTACTCCTAAATTTCTATCTTGTTCAAAGAGAAGATATAAAACAAAGTTTTAAGCTAATCGACCTTAGTGTTCTCCTTTTTAAAAAAGAATCGATAAGAGAATCGATAAAAAATTGAATCGTTAAACAGAGTCGAAAATGGAATCGGAATCGTGAAAATCTTATCAATACCCATCCTAGTCTCAGCTGATTGCAGTTTTCCCAACCTTATCACCAGTATATTTGCATAATGACTGAAACTAGCACCACTGACTAAGGAGTACAGGATGACTAGGACCAAGTGTCTTTGCTCTTGGAACTTTATTGTGGAAATGAGGGACCCAACACCAACAGCGTTTGCAGTTGCACATGTTTTTATTTGCAAAAGTATAGCATGATTGGGTGTACCGACAATTAATGTCATGTACTGTAAGGTTTGGTGAGTAGTGTGCAAAACTTGTGCACAAAGATATTCATATAGGAATTTCTGGTTAGATTGGAAGAGAGTTAATGAATTGTAATTCATGACTTCAATGTTTATTATATTCAGCATTTTTTATTTGTACCCATACCTACCAGTTCTTGTACACCACCAGTAAGCCTGTGGTTGCAGTACTGTGTTGTTGTGCCAAGAATGACAGTAAAGAAGGGATAATCTGACACCATCCCCATGACAGCACATGGAGATGGCCCTGAGTAAATGTGGTTATCCCAGCTGGACTTTTGGCAAAGCTGGGATAACCAGCCGATCCAGGACAGAAGGACAAAACTAACTTCAAAGACTTCACGAGGTCAAACACTGTGATGGCATAGTGTGTTACTCAGTGTTACTGATGCAGTTAGAGGAAGAGCGTGGAGGCAGCGTGCAGGGACATTAAACCCTAAAGGAAAAAATAAACTATTGAGCCAAATATCGGACCAAAATCTCACTGAAGGTTTTAGCTGTAAAACAGCTGATCAGAAAAAAAGAAAAATGTTTTTGCAATCTCAGTGGATAAGAGCAGTGGTAAAGTTACAAACTCTAAGATGAGGGAGATACAACTGCGATTACTTTAATAATCCCAAAGGAAATTATGTAATTTTACAATTTTTACTTCTTAACCTGTTATTTCATGATGTCTTGTTATTTAACAGGTGTGTCCTACAGAATTTGTTATCCTGAACACAATCTGAAGATTTTTGATTGCAAGATAATACAAACCTTTAATTATTCCTTCTGTGGGTTTTAGTGCGATTACATACAGTATATGTTTTGCCAGAGATTTAAGGTTTTAAAGAGAAAATGGAAATGAAAGCCACAGAAAACTGTCCAGGTTCTGATTTCTAATTCTGGAAATCAAATCTTCATCATCATCTTCATCTGAAACCAGAACACAGAAAACAAACTCCTTAAATTGTCCTTTAGTTTTGTTATCCTGCTGATGAAGATGATCACAGCTGTGTCTTTGTTGAAGAATAACTCTCAGCTTTTGGTAAATATGTCAAATATATATTCAGGAAGGGTCGCTTCACTGCACTCTCATATAGTTTAGTTTGAGAGTTAGTGCTCAGTGCCAGTGTGTTCATCAGGAGAGCCAACAGTTTTTCAAATAAAGCTGATCGCAAAAGAAGATTTGTTTTCCTGGAGGTAGAAACTGGTGTAACAGCAGTGAAAAGGGTAAATGACGCACAGGAACAGTGAAGTGTTAGTGTCTAAAAACAGGATTCCTCCTAACAGCTTAAATTAAATCTTTAATTCAGTGCTTCATTTTACACACAGCGTGTTTTCAGCCTTTATTTATTCTGGATTTTTCTACAGGATGATAAAAAGAGATCATATTAAAGTTGGTCTATAAAAATGTGTTTTTAGAAGTAATGTTAAGGAAGGAGGCTCAGCAGGAGGAAAGCAGGAGTCTCTGAGCAGCAGCCTGTTAGCTGTGGAGACGAGCAGGAGGAAACAGGAAGTTAGATCTATGCTGACATCACTGAGCTCGCTGTTCAAACCTGCTGTTTGTTCCTGACATGCAGTCACAGTCTGAGTTACACCAATGTTTTCTCTTCTGTTTCAGGGCTTCCTGTATGGGCTGCCATACTCATCGGTGTTCTTGGTTTATTGTTGGTGTTGCGGTTGGTGTTGCTGTTGTGCTTAAGGTTAAAGGATACTGTTTGAAGAAAGGTGAGTTTTACTGATGTACTATATCAACATTCATCATTTGTTGGCAGGAACATCAAACATTCTTTATAACTCCCTCATGTTAGATCTTAACCTTTGATTTATGTCAAAGAAGATAAAGACTTTGTTGGTTTACACTCAGTTTGTGACCAGTGTAGTTGTGTGTTTCAGAATTTTTTTTTTTCTGCAGGTTCACGAAGAAAAGAAAATGGCTGCTCCACATCGCTGCAGTTAAATCTCAACTCCGAATGATCTTAAAAAGTGAGAAGTGATCATATTTGAACCTTTTTTGTTTGTTTTTTTGTCTTTGATTCAGCTGAGAGTTTAATCACAAAAGGACATGTTGGCTCTTTTTTTGTTGTGTGACTGTTCTCTGGTTTCTAATGAAAAAACATTTTGGGATAAATTACAAATTTAAAATCCCAGTGTAGTGATGAAAACACTGTAACTTACCTCATGTTAATATATTCAGTACACAGTCACATTTCCATCATTTAACCTTAATTCGATCATTTACTGATAAGATAAGATAAACCTTTATTAGTCCCACACATGGGAAGTACAAGAGCAAAAAAAAAAGAAGAACAAAATAAGGGACTGTATAAAGAGCTAATATCTCCAAAATGTCCTGAGTAGTCAGTCATTATAAGAAGTGTTTGTGAACTAAAAATAGAATGTGGGATACTGTTTGTCTGTGATTTAAAGGCCTGGAATTGACACCAGTGTAATTAATGAAAGCACTAAAAGAGAACATGAAAGGCACCTAAGAATCCACAGTAGTCAAAAACATCAGATCCACGACAGGTTAGGAACCACTGACCTACAACACTCCATGTTCACATCGTTATTAACATTACACATAGTAATTGTTTATCACAGATAGAATGGGTTTTTTTTTTCACTTTTGATAGAATTTGTGTTATCAACAAAATTGTAAATACAGTAAATGAGTGAAATATAAAAACAACAGAATCTTACAGAAGTTTGCGTTGTTCATCTTACAGAACCTTTTAGTGTGACATTAGAGATGGGCAGATGAAGCCTTAAGATGTTTTTTTGAGGCTTCTTGCTGAAAGATAAAATCTTCCAGAGTCTTCCGAGTCTCTGTGGGTGAACATCTCAGTAATGTCTTCATGTGTTGGCGTGTACCCTGCCTCTCACCCTGTGACAGCTCCACAGGTCACACAGCTGGATCCTCTCCTCTCCTGTGGAAACCAGAACTCACCTGAAACAATCCTGCCCTCTTCAGCATATCTTAAGCACTTTTAATGATATTTGTTGTCGTGCTATCCAGATGAAACTGTATATGTTTTTATTATGTCTCATGTCTCCAACATGTTTCTAATTTACATAAGTCCCTGTTGTGCCCTGACAAATTTATGTCTAAAGTAATGGAAACTCTTGGTCCTATTGCTGCATTTGCTAAATATGCTACAGTTGCTTAATCAGACTCTCAAAGTAACCTTTTACATTCAAAGTTTATTTCAAATACAATAATTCAAAGACAAACTGGTTCACTCTTGTGTTTATTATTTATGTCTGGATTGCCATAATTCTTTTTTACTTCTCTAAACTAATAATGCTTCTGCGAGGCTTCTGACTAACTACACTCACGTGCAGAGTTGCTGACTCAGCTGCACTAGCTTCCCATTAAATTCAGAGTCAAATTGAAAATTCTGATTTTGATTTCTAGAACTCTGCATGGACGAACACCAGCATACATAACTGAACCTTTACATCTGGATGTCCACAGCAGGTCCCTGAGGGCATGTGATCAAGGCCTGCTGGCTGTGTCATGTATCATGTGTGCTTTTAGTTAACTTTTTTATATTCTAGCATTTTGTTGCTAAATACTTTATCTTTAATGTGCTAATTAAATAACATTTTATGTACTTTTATTTACTTCATTGTCTGGCTTCTCATTGATTTCAGAAACTATAAAGCCACGAAAGGCTGGACGGTCTGTTCCACACACAGGTGATAATAAGTGTAAGATGGTTGGATTAAATTTTCCAAAAGGCACCAACAGTACAACAGTTCAGTTACTTCAGTTAGTGGAGGTGAGAAGGAGCAGACAGCTTCAGCCAACTTTGCTGGACACCTGTCAAACCCATCCTTCCACTTCACTTCCTTCTTAATTGTAAACAATAAAAGTTGTTTAAAAACAAATACACCCAGCATACAGTTGGTATGAAGTGAGAAGCTGACCACAGGGAACAAAAAACATTTATTATATCAGACTGTAAACCTGCTGATATCTGCTGTGAATGCTTTAGGATGGAAGTCCGAGGTGAAATTGTTTGTTCCGCCTTCTTCCAGTTTTCCATTTCTTCACCTGTCTCTAAAGTCTAGTTAGGATCTCAGATTGAGAAAGAATTGCACTTCATCTTTCTGATAAATAGTCCTGTGGCAGAATTATTAGTGTGACATTTCTCATAATCTGGAGCTATCTGAAACAAAGCATAAGTCAGTAGGAACATCTGTAATCACTCTGCCGAGTGCTCAGTTCGGGTTTATTCTTTATGACATAATGAATTTAGTTCCCACGTAGTCTTCCCACTCTGACTTTGCTCAGTCTGCCTTTCGGGCTCTCATTTGTTCAGCACACCTTCTCCACTTTACTGTAATCACTGTCTCCATCTTAAGAGTATAGGTCAGGTCTTCTTTTAATTACTAAACTGTCGATGTTTCAACAGCTCTGTATCCTTTAGTTTAGTCTGAAAGGAGATAAGCTGCTTCTCTTTCCTTCATACCTGATGAAATAGGATTGGGCACTGCTGCAAGGTGTGAATGTCAGCCAAACACTGTTATTACTGATTTGTATATATGAATAAATAAAATGGTGTAAAAATAAAAGGCGTATAAAAATTAAAAAAGGTGACTGAAAAGAAACCGTCAGTGCATCATGGGAATCACCCAGCAGCCTACGTCTATTGCAGCATAACTAAGGGAGGATTCAGGTCACCTGGTCCAGCCCTAACTATATGCTTTAGCAAAAAGGAAACTTTGAAGCCTAATCTTGAAAGTAGAGATAGTGTCTGTCTCCTGAACCCAAACTGGAAGCTGGTTCCACAGAAGAGGGCCTGAAAACTGAAGGCTCTGCCTCCCATTCTACTTTTAATACTCTAGGAACAACAAGTAAGTGCTGTATTCTTGGTTGTATGTTTCCAAATATTCATTAGTTAAACTAATTCATTCTGTAGAGGTCCGAAAGTCAATTATGGTCATGCTGTCTATTGATTTGCCTTTCCCACTACCGTAGTTAAAGTAGGCCCCATTTACTATGCTGCCCTAAGGTATTACCAGGCTCACACTTCAAGACTCATCATTGCACTTTGTATGCCCTTGCTGGATTTACTTCACTCAATAATCGAAGGATGAAGCATTGGTATACTTTTATATACAAAGCCATTGTAAGAATATTGCCATTATACAAGTTCATTGCCTACAACCTTTTGTTTTTCATTTTAATCAGGCCATCAGTTTTAACCATGCATTAATAACAGGACAGGAAAAAAAGAGAATCATCCGATGAATACAGATGAATATAAAGGTAGAATAATTATCTTGTTCCACATTTTTGTTCATGTTGTTCACAAGAAAAGTGAAAATGATTAGTGGTGCAAAAAGAAAAAGAACTACGAAATCTTGCTTCTTCCTGTCAGTTTTATCAGTTCTCATGAATGCCTACAGTTTCCTTGATAACAGAGATGCTGCATCATGAAGATAATATGCTGTGAGTGCATAGATCAGTACAGCTCCTGACATACGTCATTATTCCAAAGACTGTCAGTTCTTGGAAGTCTGGCCTTCTGGATGACGGCCAGCTTGTTGTGAAATCTAATTGCCTGACAGGAAGTCTGTCGTTTAAAGTGAAAGTGAGAGTGGAGCTGAAATCTTTTTTTTTTTTTGTTTAATGACTTCATAGCCTGGGTTGTAGTATCGTTCCTCTGTTTGACTTTTATAGAAGCAATTTTCATAAAGGTTTTTCCTCATTACTTCAGGTCAGATGAGGCTGTGAGGGAATGCGAAGAGAGACTGTGACATCGCTTTTTTAGTCTTTTAAAGATGCTAGTGTCAAAAAGAAACAAACATAAAAAATAACTCTTTGACTTTAAAGTCTGGGGGTAAGAGGGGTCCCTTCCATTTACCTCAGCTTTTGCCAAACATTTTTACAATAATCTGTCATGTCTGCTCATTAATCTCTCACCTGTCAGCGTTTCTGTGTACTGTTATTAAACAAGTTCAGTCTAATGTTGCACCGGAAGTGTAATTATGCTTTACTACTTTAGGAGAATAGAAACGTGTTTTGGAGTGCGTCAGTGCGCTAAGAGGAGTGGCTCCGAGCTCCGTTTTATTAAAGAGATGCTGTAACCTTTGATCCTCAGAGGGTTTCTGCAGACATGGAGCTTCCACCACTTCTGTTTCTGAGCTTCTGTTTCCTGACTTTGTCCGGACGGACGTTTGCTGCTGAATCCGGTAAGAAACTCACTGATTTAGACTGATCATGTGTGCAGGCGCTGTCACGTTTCACAGGAGCGGATGGAGCTTTTACGCTGCTCAGGCTGCTGCTGTAGTGGGTGGATTACTGCGGCATCTACACCCGTGACATCAGCTTTTAACGTAGCCGCGTTTTAGAGTGAAATAATAAGACGACAGATTAATGTGCAGCATCTTCAACAATGAAACGAAACTTTTGTCTCTGTTGGTGATCAGTTTTTCGAGATACTCATTATTTCCTTGAATATGTTATAAGGTGTATGTGTGGCGTCAGTGCGCTGCTTCCTGTTTTGTTTGTTATCTCAGGCTGGGTCTTGGTGCAGCCTCTGGGTTCACTCTGTCTGAAACAAGCGCTTCAGCTCCTTCAGCCTCCATTTAAACCAGTCACTCTCACTCTGTGGGGCTGTAGGTGGAACTGTGATGACAACAGGAAAATATGAAGGGGAACTTAACTGAACAAATGTGATTTTTGCGGTAAAAAAAACAAAAAAAAAACAACAAAAAAGCTTTGCAATTGCAAATGGTATTTTTGTGATTTTTTTTCCTGAAAGATTTTTTCTGAAATTAAACTTAATGCTTTTGTTATGTTCATAATGGATACAAACCAAGAATTACCTTTTTTTTAGCTTCTGAAATGTAGCATGGCAAAGTTTCTACAACTCTGCTTTAAGCCACCTTCCTTCTGCTCGAATGTCCGTGACTGATATTTGACTTTCTTTCGATCCTCATCACTCTGTGTGTGAACACATGGTTTAATTCATGTACTGTTTTTCAGGGTCACCTGATACCAACATAACTGTGCAGGAAGATGATGATGTCATTTTACCCTGTTTATTCGTCTCCAGCGTGAACATTGAGTCAATGAAGTTTGACTGGAAGAAGAAAGGAACACTTCTTCAAAAGGAGGTGTTCCTGTATGATAACGGCAGCTATTACAATAATGGCCTCCACGGTCAAGATGAGCAGTTTAAAGGTCGAGTCTCACATTTTTCAAAAGAACTAAGGAATGGCAACGCCTCAATAAGAATAAATAAAACTCGGCTGGAGGACAGTGGACTTATATGTATTTTTCCAGACTGCAGCCAGAAAGAAAAATCTTCCGCATTGAGCTTGTTGTTGGTGAGTGCTGTTACAACTCAGCTGATTATTTACAGATGAAACAGTCAGCATGCACATCTGGCAGGGCCTCAACCCTACAGCACACCTGTAGTAATATTTGCAATATTTGGTGAACAAACCTGAGACCTTCCCATGTGCATGCTGGTCCTGCACCTGTCCACTTACCAAGGATCTGAAGTTTCCATTGTTTTCAGTAAACAAAATAATTCTGTGTGAATGCAGCTATAAACACTTAATAAATAAATGTTCATTTTTAATTATATATGATAGACACAGCTGTTCAAATTGTTTTCTGACTGCGTGATTATAACACATCCACAATCAAAACCTGCCTCTTGTTTAAATGTATCAGGATATGTGAAATGTGTGATTGTACCTTCTTTTTTTTTAGTTCTTTTTTTAGGAGAAAAATCTAATATAGCAGGATAACACCTCTGGATTTCTTTTCTTCAGTTTTTTGACTGCCAAATTGATGAGACCACAGTCACCTCTAACATGTGTGTTTCTTTTTCCTTTCAGAGCCTGTATTAAAGGTCCGAAATGTCACCGGTGAGTCTTGTTTGTGACGATGTCCCCGATTTACATTCTCCTCTCATTCGTTTACATTCTTCTCTCTGTATATGTGAACGTATCCGATATAGACAGTCATGTTAAAAGTAGACAGTTAATTATAAGTGCTGTGGTTTAGGAAATAATTAAAAACAAGCCTCTGGTCCTTAGCAGATCTTCAAGATAAGTAAATACAAACTGAGATGAACAACAGTAACACACAGACAAAAAGCAGAAGCAGCTTGTGAAAAACCACGTTTGGCAACTGTAACCTGAATTTATTTTCTCTATGAGTTTAATCTCACATCATTGCAGGAATTTTAGAATGTTGGTTGTTCAGTTCATTGAAGTTTGTTGGCATTTTTTATGTTACTCTGTTTGTGTCGGGGGGACAAATTTTTGCGCAGTGTGTTTTGGAGTTTGAAAGCCACAGAGACACGGTGTTTAGAAGAAATGCGTCTCAGCTCACAACAGGTTTTCGCTTAGGCAGCAGCTGTAGGCTACTTCTTTCCTGGATCGGCTGGAGCTTTCTTTAGCTTTGACAAATGTCTAGCTGGGATAACCAAATTTACTCAGGGCCTTCTTGATGTGATGTTCTTCTGCTCAGTCTTGACTGAGAGGTCTTAAATGTACAGTATAGAAAATCTTACCACGGAATGTCAGATCGCATTTAAATGAATTCTATTTTCTTACCTAATCTAATCCCAGCTACAGTGGTGATTGTATAGGACAAATACATAATAATAATTTTTTTAAAAAGACTTACTTTTTTGTTGTTTAAACTCCATGTGTAGCTTTCTCTAATGAAAATGCTGCTTGCAAATAAAAATTTTAGGAGGTGAAATCAGTTTTTTGTCAAAGAAAAACAAGTATTGGACAGCTGATATGCTGTCTTTGGCTTTCCCCAAATGTGGTGCTGTGAATTATTATCAAACATCTCCACTTTGGTGTCATCTGTCCACAGGACATTGTTGCAGAAGTATTTTGGTTTATATAGCTTTGCAAACCTAAGCCGTGCTGCCATACAATGAGAAAACAGACTTTCTTCTAGCAGTTCTTACGAACAAGCCATACTTGTTCAGTCTTTTTCTAATTATACTTTGCATGAACTTGGGATGGGCAGCACGGTGGCACGGTGGTTAGCACTGTTGCCGCACAGCAAGAAGGTCCTGAGTTCAATTCCACCATCAGGCCGGGGTCTTTCTGTGTGGAGTTTGCATGTTCTCCCCGTGTTTTGTGTGGGTTCATCCGGGTACTCTGGCTTCCTCCTCCCATCTTGTGGGGATAGGTTACTTGGTTAATCCAAATTGCCCATAGATGTGAGTGCGAATGGTTGTCTGTCCCTGTGTGCTGGCCCTGCGACAGACTGGTGACCTGTCCAGGGTGTACCCTGCCTCTTGCCCTATGACAGCTGGAATAGGCTCCAGCGCCCCCTGCGATCCTGAAAAAGGATAAGCGGATGCATGGATGAACTTGGGATGAATTTTCTGGGATGTCCACCTCTGGAAAGATTGACATCTGGCTTGTGTGACGCCCACAAGTGTATGGTCACAGTTTTTGATGTAAAAGATCAGATTTTATGGTGGTATTGCACTTTTCATTTAGAGTTATGGAGAATGTAATTGCGTGGCTTTGCCACAAGGGGGAGATAGGGGTGAGTGCGATAGGCCGTTGCAACACTTCTCTGCTCAGACGAGGAAGAGTCTGCAGACCGAACGCAACTGATGTTCCTGTCTCTGCTTTTCTGTTAATAAAAAACAAAACAGGTTAATAGTTCAAGTTTGCTCACTGCAATGTACATACAAAGGCAAGAAACCCTTTTCTGTCCAAGTTTAAAGTTCACGAATATTGTGAGAGAGTGTGTTTTCACAGATTGAGAGAAAGCTAACTATACCGCCATTTGTAATGGAAGCCGCCATTTCACTCTTAGTCTAAATAGGCAGCTGGTCTTATTACCTGTTTTATTTTGTGACAAACGCAGCTCTTAAGACGCTTCTTTTATCCTGACATTATTGGAAGTTACAGTTGAATAGGACCTACCCAGTTCTTATGTGTCAAATGTAATAATCTGATGTATACTGTTTGTGGATGATTGTGAACTGTTTGTGAGCAATGGAAGAATATTTTTGTTTATTGGTTACAAATGTAATATGTTGTTTGAATCTGTTGAAATATAAAGAATGCATAATGGTATATAAGCGGGTTAATTGCAGTGTTAGTGGAGCTGCACAGAAATGGTTTTGATGCTGAACAGCAGTAGAATATGGTTACAGATTTATTGTAAATAAGGACACTCATATACAATGATTATTTTATAAATTTATTCTTGCGAGAAAGCGAGGTAACCAAAAGGGTTTGAGCTATGGACCTGATTGAATGTGTTTTTGTTGTTAAAGGGAAATGGGTGTGTCTAAATGAAAAGAAAAGTAACTGTTTAATTCTGTTAATGAATCAGACGAGGAAGAGCCTGCAGACCGAACGTAACTGATGTCTCCTGTCTCTGCTTTTCTGTTAAAAAAACAGTTTAAAAACAGACCCCATCGAAGGCCTGTAACACTTGAATGTTTTCCATTTTAAAAATGATAGATTTCAAACTGCTTGTAATGCCCTTTAACCCTTCCTAGATTGATGTGAGCAACAGTTTCTCCTCTAAGATTATTACTGCCGTCTTTCCCCCTTGACACGTGTTAACACACATCAACTCCAGAGCTGCAAATAGCCAAAACTTCTGGTATTATAGAGGACCTCACACTTAGCGATGATCAATTAATCAAATGCAACTGATTATCAGCAACTGGCTGCTACCTACCGTCTAAGTTCTTGTAGAAGCAGTAAGGGTTTACTATGTAACATGTCACGTTATTGTTAATCTGATTATTTTATTTTAATAATTTTAGAACCTGTGTGGACCAGATTATTTTTTATTATGTCCTGATATGCATAACCTCACAACTGACAAAGGGTAAATTTTGTTTTTACAATAGCTGTAGCTATATTTGTTCATTATTTAGATTTTAGTGTTTGTTTGTTTTTTGTATTGTTTATGTTGTTTTTGCTGGTGGTTATGTAAACTAGCTGCTCTAACAGCAGTTTTTTTTTCTCTCTGGAAGATTTTTTCCAAACTCATAAATTACAACTCTTGTTTGTAGTAAAAACTGTACAGTGATCTTAAATCATGCTGGCGTTATTATTAAGTTTTTACTGTTCTTTTCTTTGCTCTTAAACACATTGTAATCCACTTGTATGCTTTGAAACATTTGAGTATTCAATTTTATTCTATTATGTAGTGCCCCACACAACAGTCGTGTCAAGATCCTTAATATTACAATTTCATAGTCTTAGATTGCTAACATTGTATGTTTGTTGTCTGTGATGTGTTCACAGGTGCTTCTCCAAAGCCATATGTCACAATACTTAAAAATAAAGGGCAGCTGCAATGTGAAGTTCCAGGTGCTTATTTTGAACCTACAGTTCAGTGGTGGGACAGTGATAACAAAACTCTTCCTTCTAAGACGCTAAAGGACCAAAAAGAAAATGGTCTCTTCTACGTCATCATCCAAAGTACTTCCCCTAAGCCTGACTGCTATCGCTGTGTAACCACACAGATGGACATCTGGCATCGGATTTCTTCAGAGATCTGTGTGCATGAAGGTAAGGGATATATTATTCTTCTAATATTCTATATTTAGAAAATATATTAACAAAGTGAAGAGAGGAGCACCATTAGCTTCGATGATGGCATTTTGATGAGCTGATGCAATGTCACTGCTTTTAAAGCCATCCAGAGTTTGCTTAATCTTTGCCATAATCATGTCTTGATGATGGAAGAGTCAAGTCTACTCCCAAAAGTTGATTCTGTTCATCTGGACGTAGTTTTTTCAGTGGGAGAAATGTTTCGTCACTCATCCAGGTGACGTCTTCAGTCTCAGCTGATGCAGGTTTCCCCAATCTTATAAACAGTACATTTGGACAATGACTGAATCTAGTCCACTGAAGGAACAATGGGCTGTGAAGTCAGTTCCTTGATCATTAATATGCAAATTCTCATGAGTCCCATTCACAGAGAGTTGGGGAATGGCTGCAATCACAGCATTGTAAGATGGTGACAGATGTACCCTTAGGCCCCCTCCTCGATTCAGAGATGGTCTTTCCCTTTTCACGTAAATGGCCTCCTTGACTCCGCGCTCAAACCAGCGTTCCTCCCTGTCCAGGATGTTACATCCTCATCATTGAAAGAGTGTCCACTGGCCTGTAGGTGTGAATAGACTGCAGAGTCCTGGCCTGATGAAGTAGCTCTTCTGTGTTGTGCCATCCGCTTCGCCAGAGGTTGTTTGGTTCCCCCGATGTATAAATCCTGGCAATCCTCCTGCACTTAACAGCGTACACTATTGTTGGGGGAAAACTCTGTAAAAGACCCAGGAGAAATAAAGACACAATGAGACAAAGTTACTTTCTTTATCAAACGTGTACACGGGTGAGCTGCTAAGAACAACTCACACCATGCACAGTGGCTTGGTAATTTTTATAGGAAAGACAGTGAGAACAGGATAAGAAAATACAAAACAAATAAAATAAACAACTCCATATGTGGCACTAGTCTTGTCAGCAGAGAGCTGGGAGAAGGCTGTGAGAGATAAAACAATCTAAAACAATATGTCCAAAACAGTATGTCTTTGCTGAGAAAGTCTAAAAAGATAATTCTAAACTAATCTAACCATAGGCAAAGGGCAGACAAAAGGCATCTTTGTACATTTAAAAGAAGGTAAAGAAACATAGAATCATTTTTCCTGTAACATTCCCCCTGTTTAACTTATTTTAAATGTATACAACAATTGTCTATGAAAATTATTTATTAAGTATGTTAGGCAATTTGTAATTTCCAAAATCTTCAAAATGTCATCATAGCAGAAATGGCAGTCATTTGGTCTAAAGAATAAAACAAACGAAATAATAAAAAGAAAAACATAGTAAATGAAAATCATAGTAAATGAAATAACAAGTGGAATAAACAAGAAAAAATAATAAAACTAAACTACAAAAATAAAGGATGAAAACTAAAATGAAAACTTCAAAAATACAAGGATGAAAACCTTATATTTAAAATGATGCAAACCTTAAATTGAAAACTTTATATGTAAAATAATGAAAACTTTATATTATAATGAAAACTTTATATTTAAAATGAAAAACTTCATGTTTAAAAGTCAAGACTTCAAAAAAAGAAAAAAAAGAAAAGCATGAAAACTTGCATAACCTACTAATGTTTTAATCAGTGCATGATCACTTGACAAGTCATTTTTAATCACCACGTCATTTATTAGCAGCTAGTACAAGTTCTCCTCTAACAGAATTGCAACGGGATGTTGTTCTTCTTCAGGCACGGCAATATAAGCAGTCATTGTAGTTGTTATCATCTTTGAAATCATTACTCTTAGGCATGGCAACACACACAACACTAATATGAGCAGTGCTATCATGATGAGACCTAGAAGGAAAAATGGCTTTGCTACAGCAGCCAGCCATGAACCGCTGAACAGCCAGTCAAGCCAGCCTTGTGCTGTAGCTGCTCCAGGTGTGTGGTCAGTGACATATTTTTGCAGAGCGGTCAAATTCTGCAAAGCTTCATAAATGTCTCCTCCAGTTTCGTATCCATCAGGGATAAAGTGCAACATGTTTCCCCGATCAGCTTGCAAACTCCTCCTTGTGATGCTGTTAGCAGGTCTAGTGTCAGTCTGTTCTGCAGCACCATCGTCCTGATGGCCTGCTGTTCTCCTGCTAAAGCAGTTCCCAGGGTCTTAGTCAAGTTGATGTGTCGTAGCAGAGCATATCGGTTGATCTCCACGTGATCCCGCACCTCGGCAACTCCAATGCCGGGGATCAAGCTCTGTAAGAATTTCACTCCTCCTCCCAGATGCGAAACTCTCCCGGCACTCCAGTGTCCACGGTAATGCCGAAAGAATTGGGGAGGCGATGTCCACTTCACGTCTCTGCCGGCTGCTTGGGTGATGTGCAACACTTTGCATGAAGAAAACGTGATCTGATAATTCCACCAGGGCGCACAGACCTCCCCAACCTTCAGGGAGTGACAGATAAGCCTTGTTGCCACATAGGAAGTACCAGTCAGCCAAAACTCTGGTTCCTCTGCTGCTGGGTGCCGTCCGTGCACATCCTGTCTGGTACTGAGTCTTTGTTTGTAGTGGCATTCGGTAGCTGTAGTCGGAGCGACAGTTTAGGCCCATCAGCGTCGTGTTACTGGCACAGGTGGCGTTGATTGAACAGGCCATACACTTCCTCTCGTTCCTTGGTGGGCAGAAAGTGTATATGGACTTACATAGGTGAGTAGGCAGCTCCCCCACTGCCCGCGAGCCATTGTTCATCACACATACTGGCAGTTGTGATGCGTTCAGTTTGTTCAGTAGAATTACATCAGGCAGTGGGTCTGAGACTTGGGGCCAGGTCAGTAGGTAGGTCTGTCCGGAACAGTTCACATTTGTGAGTGATGATGACCTCCAGGTTCCTTTTGCTGGGATGCTGTAGTTGGCTTTGGACCAAAGAGTACCGTAGCCTGGATGTGTTGCCAGGCCCAACAGACACCAACTGCGATCTTCAGGTATGCTGTACGGCCACAGGCCAGACGTCTGCGAGGATAGGGGCATATGGGTACATGCATAGCAGTCAGTTTTGTTATTCAGGTGAGCTGTAGTGTTCATAAACTGCCACCAGAAGTTGGTGGCGTATCCATGGGGAAACTTGGTGTACTTTCCTTTGTCATACAGTGTCTGCCTTTTCTCCATGTAGCGTGACTTGTTGTCCCTCACGGAAGCAAAGGTGAGGAATCCCGGCCATGGTCAGGGCCGCTGCAGTTGATAAGAGCCACCACCTCATGACGACGGAACACACCCTCCTGTCGCGAGTAGACCCCCGGCCAGGAAAGCTGACCCCTCCACCGGGCGAGATCACAACAAGCGGGCAAGCCTGCCGTCAGCTGTGTTTAGATGGCTTCACTGACACGCCTGCAGTGACTCTGATGGATCCAGGATGGTCGTTCTGCAATTTTGCAAGCGGTCGGTGTAGTGAGGAGGACTTGGTATGGCCCCTCCCACCTGGGTGTGCTCCAGTTTTTCCTTTGGAGCACCTTGATCAGAACCCAGTCACCGGGCTTTAGTCTGCAAGACACTGGAGAAACATCATCAGGTTGTTGATTATGTACAACGATCTCTTTGTTTTCTAACAGCTTAGACATCCACTCTGCTAATGTGTTTTCTCTGATTGCTTTGTCTATTGGTTGACTGGTAATAGGCAGTGGAAACGGCCTGCCATGAATGATTTCAAATGGAGTTAGTTTATGGGAGCCTTGTGTTAAGCGCATCCACATCTTCACTAAACCCAAACATTCAGGCCACGGCCTTCCTGTTTCTGCCATGCATTTCCTGAGCCTTTGTTTTATAGTGCCGTTAGTTCTCTCTACAAGGCCTGCGCTCTGAGGGTGATAAGCACAGTGGTGTTTTATGCTGAAACCGAGTGCTTCAGAGACCTTAGTGATGACATCATTTACAAAATGAGTGCCGTTGTCTGACCGTATCAAAGCTGGGATGCCATATGTGGGTATGAAGTGATTGCACAGGCACTTTGCTACTGAAATTGCATCTGCCTTTTTCACTGGATAGATTTCCGGCCACTTTGAGAACACGTCTATAACCACTAGGGCGTATTTTGACCCTTGACATTCGCTTAGTTCAATAAAATCCATATGAATTGTGTGAAAAGGATGAGGCGGAGTTGGAAAACGGCCTCTTTGTGGTCGCAGGTTACCCTGAGCATTATATTTTTGACACGTCATGCACGTTCTGACAAATTGTTTTGCTGAAGTTTCAAAATTTACAGTGTAGAAATGAGTGTTGACAATACAGGTCATTCCCCCCGATGACAAATGCGTACAGCCATGAGTCACTAATGCCGCCATTTTGTGGAGCGATTTTGGCAACACCTGCTTGCCATAACACATCATTAAATCGTTTGTCAGAACTGCACTGTGTTTTAGCCATTTTGCCTGCTCTGCTGTGCTCGCTGCTTTTTGTTCACTTTGCAACACATCCAGCGGAATCTGATGTGTGTTTACTGCCATCAAAGTCATGTTTGTATTTTGTGCCGCCTGTTTTGCAGCTCTGTCAGCAAAATTGTTGCCTGTAGTAATAAAAGAGCCATCAGTTTTGTGTGCTGCACATTTACACAATGCGAGTTGTTGTGGTAAATGTATTACAGTCAGCAGGTGTTGTAAGAGGCTTGCATGCTGGACTGGTTTACCGGTTGATGTAATCATTCCTCTGTTTTGCCAGAGCTTTGCGAAATGATGCACAGCAGAGAAAACATACTGGCTGTCTGTATAAATGTTTATTGGTTTATCTTTGTGGATTTCACATGCACGAATAACAGCTATCAGCTCAGCGCTCTGTGCAGAATATGAAGAAGAAAGTGGTTTTGCTTCTATTATTCTACTGTCTGTGGTTACTGCGTAACCTACACAATTACGGCCTGTGTTGTCTTTAGAGGCCGATCCGTCCACAAAGACATCAGTAAAACCAGCTTGTGGCTCAGCATGGATGTCAGGGCGGGGTTTGGTGTCTTTGTCTAATTCTGCATGGCAG